AAACAAGCAAGATGAAAAACTAACTTTTGAAATTATTACAATTTTAACCCCATGAAGGCATTTTTTTGAAATCCTATGTAACTGGGGTAAAACTGTTTTCACGAGTTTCAAAAAAGGCCCAAATTATCATCCTGTTACAAATCTGCTTGGTCGCTTTATTCGCACGCAATTAGAATGACAGAAAAAATATCAAACCGGATTTTCCCGACACTAAAAAAACTTATGACAAACTTTTGAATTTCGACCGAATCACAACACAACGGGTTTGACACGATATATCACTCGACATTATTCAATGGTTAATTGCCTCACCTGATTTTGCCAGAAAAAAGTTCAACGTGCTAAAACAGACCAGAAGACAAAGTTCCACCCTATTTTCAGTGTCGGAACAATAACAACCTAAGTAAAGAAACCTAAAAACACGTCCGATAAAATTGAGTATAGCATCGAAATCACGACTTTCAGATAAGAAACAAAGATAACCAATTCCTGTGGAAGTATTACAGAATGTTCCGACTAGAGAAAAAAAAATGTTCTGTACAAAAATGTTTTTCTGTGTTTAGAAGAGCGAGAAAGCAAGAGAAAAAACTTAGACTACATATATTATTACGGGATTCAGTAGATTACAATTATAGTGGAAATTATTAACAAAACCGAAATAAATGTTTTTAACCAATTTCTTTTACAGCTTACCTTTTTTGAAGGTTTTTGATTATTTTGAAGTTTTTGTAATGAAAAAATTTCTGAACCAATTTCAAAAACAAATTATTTAAGCTAAAAATTTGTTTTATAGCTTAATATCTTCTTTACACTATCTTAACTTTTAGAAGCATCTTTTGAAGAAACAACTTACGAGTAAAAGGGCCTTAATATGACACCGCAATTCACCCCTTCCGACCTTTATTCGCGTTACTCAAGACTCACTCCTCTCCTTTATCGCCTTTAAAACCATTTGAAGTTCAAGAGTCTCTTGCGATAAACACTTTTTTTGAAACATAGCCAGCAGACAGTTGGAAAAGATTCAATGATCGCAAGGAAACAGAAAACTGTTTTTGACTTCTTTTGTGAAAAAATCTTGAAACTCCAAAAAAAGCAGATGGCTTTAAAGCGCTTTGAATTTCTAGAACAACTTATGATGTACTTTTTTTGACAAAATTAACCCAATTGGAGAAAATTTGATCGATAGGTAAATTTTTTTATTTCGCTAAGAAATCTCATAACTAAATTCCGTTTCCGAAATTAGAAGTCGATCACATTTTTGGTGACCTTTACACTTTCGCTGATTGATATGGGAGTTTGTCTTTCTTTTAACAAAAGAAATGAAGTTAACTTAGAAAGAAATCAAAAGTCAACCCGCGAAAAAGTAAACTTAAGCTTGAACAGATTATGACTTTTTTGAAAAGAAACGAACAAAAAAATATCGCGACCTACATAAGAGTCTGAATGACGTTCATCGAATCTAAAAAACAAACTCAATTTTCACTATTGCGATTATGAGCAATTAAATACAGAAGAGCCGGTTGCTGTACAGGGGTGTTCAAAAAATAATGGGGGGAAATTAATTGCAATTAATGCGATGCAATTAATTGACTATGTTTTTTTTCTAAACTCATTAATTGATGGTAACGCAAGCAATTAATTGGCAATTATCAAGTATTTATAAAGCGTATTCTAATAGTATTGTCGGCCTAATGTAGCCTGGATATCCTTTTAGTGTGTAAAAGAAAACAAGAGTATATTCTATTGGCTAGTGGAATTGTTCACTTATTACGACATTAGCGCGTGTGACATTAACTGCTCCAGTGAAAACGAAGCAGCATGACTACTAATTCATTTCGTAAACAAATATGCGAAAGGTATTTTACACCTGCAGCATTAGAGAACAAATGGACATGTGGAAAAACTGTCACGCAGAAAAAAGGAAAGGGCTGGACAATCTTATCGAACCACGTTATTGCCCTTCACTCAGACTATGAAAACACGGAAAACCAGAGCACACTTATCGACTACGTATCATCACCGGTGGAGAATGTGTTTGGGTGGATCGACTGGATCACAGACTGCTTGTATCCTTTCAGTTTCGTCCAAAATGAAACAAATCGAAAGTATACGAGCTTGAAGCCGATTTCTCGCAACACTCTACAGAAATACATAATTGGTTTATCGGCCAATGCTGAAAGCGCGGTCAAAAAAATATTGAAAGGAAAGTTCAGTATTCTGATGGATGGGTGGTCCAAAGGCAGCACCCATCACGTGGAACTTTTTTCTGCCCTTCCAGATTCGAAGGTGAGCGCAGTTTATTCAACTGTTTTGTTATCTTTTCGCCATTGTACGGCGAGACCAACTTAAATGCAGACGATCACTGCAGGTTTATAAAATGGGTTGTTCAAGATTTGTATGGAAAGAACGTGGAAACAGATGTTATTTCGACAATAGGCGATAATTGCGAGGTGATTAAGTCTATTGCTCGTAAACTCGGAAAAACATTGGTGGGTTGCGGGTCCCATCGGTTAAACCTCGCAATAAATATGATATTTGCTGAACACAAAATTATTCTGGACAAGGTCAACACGCTTATGGGCAAGTTCAAAAACTTGATTCTCGGGGCAAAATTGAGGAAACACATCATTGGTTCCGGTACAACGCAACGTCACGAGATGGAGCAGTACGTTTGAGATGATTAAAAGGTACTTACACGCTCCATTCGAAAACAGTCTACTTGAGAACCTGCTCAATCAGTTTACTAAGCTAATTCAGTTACGAAAGCGCTGCAACGTGTAGAAATCACAATATCTGACACGCGGGCTCTGTTCGACGAGGTCCTCAAATCTCACCCGATGACATCCAAATACCTGGCTTCTGAAGCGTCCATTGTGTTTGAATCTGCTATCACGAAAATTCAGAACAAGAACGAACGTTTGTTTTATGACTGAAGAAGAAGTTCTGGCCGTGAAAATGCTGAAGAAAAACGAAGATGAACAAGCGTCAGCAACAAGCACCTCAGACGATTTTGCACAGAGTATAATAAAAAAGAAGAGAATCCGGGTCCGACTACAAAGGAATTCTTTGTGTTACCTACGTCAAACATTATGGTACGCTTTTTCAGCACAGCAGATATAGCTCTAAGCGACTACCGGCATCGACTTTTGCCAGCAAACTTGGAATGTCAGTTATTCCTTAAGTACAATCGTCGACTATGGGATTAAAAGACACTGAAGTTTGTTATAAACCATCCGAAAATTGCAGAACAATAAAAAAAATGTTTTGAAAACATGTTTTGATTGAGAGAGCCCATTAATTGCAATAATTGATTGATAGAAAGTCCCCATTACAATTAATTGATTGCCTTGGAAAAAACTCAAACATTCATTGCAATTAATTTTTGAACATCTCTGTTGCTGTACAAGTCGCACTAAATAATCCGACCAGGGTCTTAAAAAACCCAAAAAATTTTTTTTTCTTGAACCAAGAACTAGAACTTAGGCATATTGGACAGTCATATTAAAATGGGCAAATCGGAAAACAGTTTTTGTAGAAAGTCGACAATAAGAACGAGAAAAAAATTCAAATTTTGCACAATTTTTGATTCCCCAAATTTTTGATTAAGCATAAATTAGCTATTGTAAGCTTGTTCGTTCACACTACACAGTATTTGCTCGAAATTTGATATAAAATCAAAATATTCAAACGCGTTTTTCTCGTCATTGAGAAAAAAAATTTCAAAACGTATTTGGAATCAGTACTGAAAGGGCTTTAATCTGATATATCACACACCTTCCGATGAATACTTGTAATACCTGATTTAGCGTGGAAAATTTTGAAATATCAGTCCAACCACCAGCATAAAGAATAGAGCTCGAACAACTTTTACGACTCTTGTGAAAAAAAATAACACAACCGAAAAAGAAAATCATCAATTTATGAATATTTTGAAGGCTTAGAAATGGTATAAAAGCAAACACCAGGTCATAATACGATGCATATCGCTAAGACGATTAATCCAATAATATATATTTAAGTCTAACTATCCCGCAAAAAACCGAAAAAGAAAATCATGAAAGTATGAACATTTTGACGGCTTAGACATGGTATAAAAGCAACTCCAGATCATAATACGATGCATATCGCTAAGACGATTATTCCAATAATATATATTTAAGTCTACCTATCCTGCAAAAAACGACAAATCATTAACGAATCCGAAAAGAAATAGAGGAAAATAAATTATTTTTCTACTGATCTCAGGAATAGAATGCCTAATCTCTATGATTGACACATAATAGCCACAGAGGTAATGCTACACTTCGCCAACAGAACTAATAAAGAAGGAAAAATTAAAGAGAAAAAAAACAGGCCAAATATATATTTTGGATAATGCGGGATCCGAACCACAGAACTTTCACCAATGATTCACCTCTATTTACTGCCAACCCACTGCTGGTTGGTATAAGCTACCTCCACGCATAGGTTTAAAGTAAATGTAAATCAGCAGTGAAAGATCTTTAACTAAACAGATATACAGCTCATCATGCTGTTTGAAATGGAATCTACGCAAAAGTGATAGAACTAAAGCTCTACACGAATTTTTACCAAATGAACTTAAGAAAAATGCAATTTGTGCTTTTAAAAAAAGAGGAGCTTACAGTTAGAACTAAATCTCTACACGAATTTTTACCAAGAATTGAATGCAATTTTGGCTAACAAAAATGACCGAACAAAGCAGGCATGTTAAAATCTAATTCAGTAACGATACATTGTAACGGGATACTGGTCAATTAATAATACAGTATTAGTTAGGAGCGTAACATCGTAGGTTCAAATCCAGGCCGTGAAAGTCTTAAGCGGGCACATCTTGTAACTGATCGCCTAACAGGGTTAAATTTCTGTCAGCATACAAATACAGGTCTCTCCGCTATTAAATTTCAATCGCGACTCGAAACTAACAAAAGTTTCGAATTTCATATTTTGAATTTAAATTTGAATATATTTCGAAGCTTCAAACTAATATGGTACAATTTAAATATTTATAATTGATAGAATCAAGATTGAATCAAGAAACGCAACAATTGCACAGCAGTTGTAGTCATTTAATACGGTAATGTAATTAATTTGAAATGTAAATGTAAGACTACTACATACACGTAAACAATGAAATGAGTCTGAGGTGAGCTTCGGTGTTAATTTTAAATTTTTTACACAACGCTTTTTCTGGAATATTTAAAAGTCCACGAATTTTGAAATTCTTCGGTGATCCAATTATCACACTTGTACCGTGTTGATTTTACGAGTCTCGAGTAAATAAAAACTAGCTAAAATTGCCAACAGTTACATTAAAATGGTTGATAGGAATTTAGAATATGCGAGATTGAACAGGAACTAGCCTAAACTATCGTCTCGCTAGGGGGGACCGTTTAAAAAGACAAAGCACGCAATGTCACAATATAACTATTCGGGGAACTTTTACTTTCAAAACAAAAGCGGGTCTCTGCATTTTTACATCTAATACCCTATTCTTTGTTAATTTACAGGAATTCGAAGCTGGAAGCTCAGACTGTTGAATAAATAGCCGCATGATTGCGTTTTAAAATTGAATTTCACATAGCATGGAAGTAAGTCTAGTGGCATACGCCACTCTAGACCGTGAATTATCAGCTCGCTCAAGGTGAATTTGGAGTGATTTCTTTGTACAAGGTATGTGAACAAAGACTGAACAAATTGGCACAGCGTTGGAAGGATACGCATAGTCAGAAGTACTAGGACATCTTGTACACATTCACGACATCAACATTGATCCATTCTAAAAAGAATTCCTCGCATGTTTGCAAAAGTGGTTAACAACAAGCCGCCGATCATCGTCGGTTCGGTTGACACACATTGAACATGGAACCCAATTTTAAGCGAAACACTTTCGATTGCGAAGAAAAGGAAACTTTCAGCAAAATACTATTTTATGCCAGTTAAAATAAATACAACTAAATTTGTTGCCTCTGAGAAACTTACCATTATTTAAAAAATTGGAGAATTCAAAATTAAAAGTAAAATTAACGAAATTGCATCCCTTATACTTCAACGCGTAGCTTTCATGTTAAATGTTATTTTTGCAACATATCGACCATTTTCATGGATAGCAGAATTGGTTTCTTATCAAGATTCAAAAAGATACAAAAAGTGAAAAAAAGTCAAAACTGTTGTGGTGTCAGGTTGTCTGTGAGGGTTTGAAAATCAGTTGAAGTTGAAATTGTCTGAAAATTGGCATCTGAAAAAAGACACTCAAGCCAATTTTCTCGACACTGAGTGGACGTCTTTGCAATATCATTTTTAGAAAAGGAAACAACTAAAAAGGCTTCAATTTGACAATTTGACATCACGATTGACTAACGCCGGTTTTCTTAGAGGTACTCAAAATTGACAGGAAAAAAACTCTCCCAAGATAGGCCAGAACAATCTTCCTACATGATAATCAAATTTAACAAAGACACGACTGGAAAAAGTAGTAGAACAATAATCAGCAGCGCTACAGTGATATTAACCTGCAGTGATCCCTGGCTACTCTTCAGGAACTTGAGCCGGACTGGGTTTTTTGGTCTGGACACTGGAAGCCACTTGTACTCTTTGTAATATGTCTCAGGTTCACTTAATTGCACTTCGTAGCCTGCAAAAATGAAGGAACTTCGATATCTTTTTGTATTATTTTTTTTGGCGAATTATGAACCCAGAAACACGTCAAAAATAGGTCCTTCGCTTCCGCAAATCAGTTAAATTGAGCATCGGTTCACAGTTACTGTGCAGTATTCAGTGAAGTTTGCCGAAAACAAAAACCTAAAAAGTTCCTTCTTCACCACTTTTTCTTGCAAACCATTAGGCATCCAAAAACAAATTTCGCAGCGGTCTGCAAAATCAACAAAACTATTGGAAATCGATTTTTTTACCTGAAGTGATTGCAATATGTTGAAGAATACGAGTCAGAATATGGTGAGTGAAGTGTCCCCCCACACACTCCCTTTTCCCTCCCCCAAATGTGAACAAAGAGGGGGAGGAGGCCTTATTCTTCACACTCAGCCACCTCTCAGGGAGATATTCCTCCGAGTAGGGAAACACTTTGCTGTCCCTGTGTGCGAAGTAAGACATGTATATGATCGCCTGGAAACAAAAATAAAAAATCAATTACTATTTCTGGGCTGACTTAAAAAAACAGTACAAATTTTCACAAACAGTTACTGGAAATATATGAAGTAAGAGAAAGAATATAGTCAACAGATACCGGATCAAAAACAAATGTGTTGAAGTACCATAATAAACTCAGAAACAGTTGGGACTTACTGCAAGTAGCATTTGGAAATTTTTCTACAACAATATTTACTCGTTCTTTTTAAATAAGACCAGGGATAATCAAAAGAAGTACAAGATCGAATACTCAGCTGTAAAAGTATTACTGGCCAGGGCTACAAAAACTAAACTAGGTTTAACAACGACAAAAAAGCAAGAAAAAAAACAATTTCATGATTCGAATTGCATGATTTAGACCAAGATTCACTTGTCCTTACCACTCAGCCATAGTCCTTTAGATTGCGTATTTTGTTTTTTTTTCCAACAAAATTTCTCTGACTTTCTCGTGTCACTTCATTCTTAGAAATCAGACGGAGAGAAAGCGTTTTAAAAAAGCGGATATAGTTAGATCAAACTGCTTTTTAAAATAAAAACTTCGATTTAGTCAGTGAAAAAGTCTGTCTGTCTGTGATAACTATTAGTTTAATGCAAGTGATTATAAAACAGAATGAGTAAAACGTTTAATTCAAACTGATAACTTGTCTTGGTTTTAGATTAGAGATCATGACTATCTTTTCATGTGTCTCCTAGAACAGCAACGTCCGAAATGACTATTGCGTTTGGCCTGCATGAATGGCCTTGAATAATAATAACAATACATAACAGAATAATTAATAGCACTATTCTCCAAGGTTACTGTGGTAGCAGTACTACACGGTACCACATTCCCCTGGCGACAACAAAATTTTATATAGTACTTTATGAAATTTTATAAATAATACGAGTTGATTCAAAGTTTACTGAAAAAGTTCTCTTTTTCTTTAGTTTTCCTTTGTTATCTTCTTCAATACTACCTCCTTGTTTCTTGCGACGTTCCATGATCCCGCCTCGTCCAGCGATGTAGCACCAAACTTTCTTTTGAAGAGGTGTCTCTCTAGCCTGTCAAACGTGTTGTTTTCCGAAGTTTCTTTGTTGTTTAGGTTTAACTTCGCTAATCGCAATCTGTAGGCCTCAAGTGCTGCCAAATTTAACTCAGTGACATCGTCCTCACAATCGATCAGTTTTATCGAGTGTGATACGGGACTGCCATATCTCTTCGGTCCCTGGTTTTTAGTTTGTCTGCTACTCCGTCTGACTGTCGTGGTATCTTCCTCTTTTTCCGATTCATCCGCAAATCCTGGTGTGGAGTAATCTACTGGGTCCATTTGTTGTGTCAGTATTTTTTCTGCTTCTTTTTGGACTCCTCGGGTCAACACCTGGTTTGTTATTTCCTCCCATTCTTGCGATGTCATGTTATTATTCTGGAATGTGTCCAGAATTTCCTTTTCACTTGTCTGTTGTGTGATTCTTTTGTTTGTTGGAGCTTCTTTCGGTGCAGACGACTCTATGTATACTGCGTCATTGCTCGTATCCCGTTTCTTAGAAACTGTTTTGGCAGCTTTTGTCGTTCGTGATTCTTGTATTTTGCCACTTGTCGGTTTTGTGTTCTGAAACACCGGTCCTGCTCTGTTCGGTTTTCCCCTTTTTCCTCCTAAGTTAAGACCTCCGCCGGTCTTAGTGTCTTTTGATGTGACTATGCTCGGCGAGTTTTGGAACTTTTCCTTTAGTTGACTATCATCTAGGTTTTCGTCTAGTCCCCCGGTCTTTCGCGTCGTGTTCTTTAGCAGAAACGCTGTCTTCCTCTTCCTGATGTGTTACTGTTTTCTGCTGTTTACTTCGCGGTTCTTCCCCAGTTGGGCTCCTCTTCTTCTCCGAGTTATGTGCTTTGGGCTGTGCTGGCAGTTTAGATCTCGCTATGTCGCTCTTTCTGTATACTGCACCAGCAGCCGTTTTAATTGTCGATGGTGTCTCTGATACTATCTTGGTTTTCAAGGGTATTGTCAGGGCCTTTCCGCTTTTCCTTTGCTCGTGTTTCCGCAGGAAACTTCCAGACAAGTCCTCCTTTAATGTAGTTTGTTTGTCCTCGATGAATCCACGTTCCCATGAGTATAAGAGTTCTTTCCTCAGTTCGGGATTTATCGTGCTGGTTTCATCTACGACCCGGCGTAGTTCGCTGTCTGAGAGATCCCGTCTGGTGGCATTCCACCTAGCGTTTGCCTCTAGAAGTTGTTTTAATTCCTTTGCTCTGGCCTTATCTTTCGCTGTCGCCGTGTCGTGTCGAAACAAAGGGCTTGTATCCCTGCTATTCTGTCCTTTCCGAATGATTTTAACATTCTCCCTCAACTGATCGATTCGCCTTTTCAACTGTGATGCTGTTAGCGCAGATCTCTCCAAGTGTTCTTTATCTAAACGATCAGAATCCATCAGAAATTTATCCCTTACAATCTTAAATTCCGTTTTCGGTAATCGACCAAAGTGTGCTTCAAACGGGGACACTTTTATTGATTTCTGTTTATTCCATCTTAGGTCCCTAATTATTGTGCTCAAGGATAATTTAATCGATTGTACTTTCTCTTCGAGTAGCATTACCCCCAATCTTCTTTTAATGGTTTGTATCGTTCGTTCAACTAAACCGCATCCTCGATGATCCCCGACTGGACAGAATTTTTGCGCGATGTTATTTTCGGTGCAAAATTTTTTCATTGCTTTCCCTTTGAACTCAGAAAATTGATCCGTTTTAATTGATTCCGGTATTCCATGTGTGTCTATGTAAGTACGGAGAAATTTTATTGTTGATTTTCCCCCTGTAGATTTCGTTACTTTGACTGATGGAAATTTTGAGTATCTATCAATAGCAACCAATAAGTATATCTTCTTCCCCTTATGGTCTTCAAGTGGGCCCGCATAATCTAATTGTAGCTCTTGACCTGGCTGTGACAACAGTGGGAGTGGTTTAGCCGAATTTTTTGGAATTAGATATTTAGCGTTCTTACCGTAACGAGTACAACTTGTACATTCTTCGGCCATATTGACTATGTCTTTGTGCATATGCGGCCACCACAGGTAGTTTGATACCTCCAACATTGCTTCCTGTCCAGGATGACCTTGGTGGAGTCGTCGGAGCACTGCTTGCCTCAACTTTTCGGGCACGGCCAAACGATTGGTGTAGGGCCCCATGAGCTCGAATCCATGTCTGTCGTTTCGTTCCACCACTCTTCTGAGCCTATCCATCCAGGTATCTTTTGATACTAATTCCGCGAGTAGACTTTTGTCAAATAGTTTGTCGAGTGAAAGCGGGTTTTCTGCGTCCATTAGCTGTTCCCCCCGTTTGTACTCGGATTTTCTTGAATTGTGTCTTGTTTTCTGTTGTGGTGTGATCCCACAAGTCTCTGTTCCTGAACTGTAATCCCGGTCGTCACTATCCAGAGTTAAGTCGACTTCGACAATTTGTCCCACTTCCGCTTCGTCTCCAGATGTGATTAGTCCTGGTCGTTTCGGGCTTTGTATCCCCGAAATGGCCTCTGACTCCATCGCTGGTAATGTGGGTTTTGTAGGTTCTGTACTCCTTCCTGAACCAACCAGTTCCCAGAATGAAACTAATTTTGATTGAGCTGTTGAAACAGTTGAAGATGATTGTCCTTTTTTTCCTGGGCTGGCTGTTGAAGCAGTTGAAGTTGATTGTCCTCTTTTTTCTGGGCTTGCCCTGCCTTGTGTATTTGGCAAAAACCACCTCGCCTGTGGTATTTGTTCGAAGTCCGACTCCTCTGGGTGTGATCTGTTTGGGGTCCTTTGTATCATCCTGGTTCTTTGAAACGTTGTTGTTACTTCTTCTCTCAATGTATTGATGTTATTTCGCTCCTGAATCCTGACCATCTTTTTTTCTTTTCCGCTTTTTCCAATTCGCCTGAGTGCATTTTGCCTGATTTGATTAAAAAAATTTCTGGTTTTTTCTAATGATTGAACCGACTGTATCCGCTGACGATTTTGAGATAAACTGATTTTTGGATTTTCACGTTGAAACGAACGCGAATCTTCATTTCTTTCGTTCCGGTCGTGCTTTGTCCGTTTTGAACCGTTTTGGTTGCCATAGCAACGGGTAGATGACGTGTTCTTATTCGACGCATTTTGATCAAATCTAGAATATTCTAGAAAGTTTTCGTTCCGGTCGAGCCTATCCTGATCATTTAGTCGACTGTTTAAACAGTCGAGAGCTTTATGGAAACTTTCGATTGATGTAACTACGAATTTCTCATCCAACACTGACTCCGGCCAAGGTTCACCCTTTGGATTTCGAGAAAGATAATCTACTATACCCATATCTTTCCCTGGCAGATGAACAACCTTGAATTGATAGGGTAATAGTCTGTCTACCCATCTAGTTAATCTAGATTGGTACGTTTTATTTGATTTGTTTTCATCCAAAGCAGAAACCAGAGCTTTGTGATCTGTAGCTATCACGAATTCCTTACCTAATAAGTAGTGTTTGAATCGATCAACCGACCATACAACTGCAAGCAGTTCCAGCTCATTTGTGGAATATTTTTTTTTCTTGTGTGTTGAAGTATCTGGAAGCGAATGCGATTGGTATCCACTCCCCCTCAACGTTTTTTTGTTCTAGCGATGCGCCCAGCCCACTGTGACTGGCATCACATTTCACCCTAGTATCTAGACTGGGGTCGTAATAATGAATTTTTGTTATATTCGCAACAGCTGCTTTTATTGACTCGAATATTTCCGAATGTTCTTCTTTCATTCGAATTTTTTTACTTGAATTTTTACACATTTGAGTTTCTTTTTCTCATTTTCCTCGCGTAATAGTGGTCTCAATTTTTCTGTTAACGTAGCCGCATTTGGGATAAACTTGGCCAGATGGTTTATACTACCCAGAAATGATCTAAGCTGTTTCAGTGATGTTGGCGGGCTAAGTTTTAATATCGCTTCGGTTTTTGTTATTTTAGGAGAAATTCCGTCCATCGATAACTTATGCCCCAATCAATTCACCTCCTGTTGAAAAAATTCACATTTCGACAGTTTTAATGCCAAATTCTCTATCTAATTTTTTTAGTACATTCATAATCAATTCTTCATGTTCTTGTTCACTCCCTTTTGATACAATGAGTATGCCATCAAGAAAACAGAATGTATTTTCCGCATGATTTAATGTTCTGTCCATAGCTTTTTGGAACTATGCTGGCATGTCTGCCAAACCATAAAATCCGGTCAGAAATCTGTAAGTACCTGTGGCTTGCCCACCTATGATGTTGAAATTGCATTGTTTCGCTGTCTCTGCAGTCAGCTTAAGTTGACTGTACGCGTACTTCAAATCTAGTCCTGAGAAATACAGTTTACCGCTTGTGTTTGCTGTGCCAATTTGGCTAACACCATCTAACAATTCGTCCACATTTGGCATTTGATACTTATTTTTAAACAACTGTCTATTAATGGGTTTTGCATCTAGCGCCAATTTTATGGAATCATCTTTTTTCACTGTTATTACAATAGGTGCTATAAAGCAATCACTAGTGCATTTGTCTAGTCTTTCTATATGCCCTTCGTTTAACAATTTTTTCATTTCTTCGTACACTTTCTCCTGTATGTGTATCGGAATGCGTCTCCCCTTTTCTTGTAAAGGACAGAGCGGGTATTTGAACTTTGTGCTGACCACATGGTTTTTTGAACACCCTTGGCGATCAAAAAGATTCTTAAATTTACTGTAAAATTTGTTTTTCCAACCTTCTGACTGTTCGCACAGTAAGACATCAAACCTCGTCTTTTCTTTTGGTGCCAACTTCTGTGTTGTGTGTATTCCCACTTTACTCTGTAAATCCAGCCCCAAAATACACCGTGTGCGTCTTTCTGTGATTAGGAACGATGCTCCCACCACTTCCCACCCCGCCGAACGGATGTTCGTGGTGATTGCACCCAGTATGTTTATCGGCTGTTTGTTTTAGTCTACAAATTTTGTAGTCAAATTGAGATTTTCCCGTGGGATGAACTTGGTTTTTTTCGAAGATTCTAAGATCGTCTTTGCAGTCGCCCAGTTCAAGAAAGATACTGGACTACCCGTATCGATAGTCATATTTATTATCTGATGATCGATTCTCAACAGAGCTTTGAGTGACCTTATTTGTTTCGATCGAGTATTTCGTCTAATGTCAACCTTCTGTACATCCTTTCTGTACTTTTCGGTTTCTTTGTTTTTGTTTGATTGCTGTTTTATATATTCATCTAATTTTGGCAGCGAAGACAGTTCTGATTCAACAGACATAATTTCGAACTCCTCACACGATTCGAATGACTGAATCAAATTACACTCTTCATCTGAGCTTGATGATTTTTCTGCAATCTCATTCACTTGTTGTGATTTACACATTTTTGCGAAGTGATTCGGTTTAGAACAATTTTTAAATGTCTTTCCCATGGCCGGGCATTTCTTCAGATGTCCTTCTCCGAATATTCGACCACATCGCGTACACGTCTTTGAGTCTGAAAAATTTCTCCCCTCCTTTCTGTCTGTAAATTTTTTCCTGTACCCATTGTTTTGTCTCCTTCCGCTAGCATTTTTGTTGCCGATACTCATTATGGGTTCTTGTTTTATCTTCGCTGCTCCATTTACCTGAACTATACTTGCAGTCGTTGCATTAGTTTTCTGAAACGCCTGAGTTGTCTGTTTACTTTGTTCAAACTTTAACGCTCTTTTCAGTACTTCTTCTGGTGAAAATGTTTCAAATGTTAATGTGTCTTGTAATACCACGTTCTTCATTTTCGAGATGAATAGGTACCGCACTAATTGATCCTCGAGTGTTCCTAGCTCAGCTTTAGCTGCTTGAGCAGTTAATGCTGCATGAAATGCCTCGAGTGTTTCCCCAGTTTCCTGTGATCGATTAAATAAATTATAACGTTCATATGTAACACTCTGTGATTTATCAAATGATACTTTCGCCAATGCCACCATCTCTCGAAATTCTAACTTTGACACCTCCACATGTGGATTCTTCTGAACGAATTTCTTCTTGCCTTCTGTGCCCAACGCCAAGAATAGTCTGGAAGCGACTCTTTTCTGTACCTCATTGTAGTATACGTTGTGACCAACCTTTGGTCCTCTAGCTCTTCTTTCTTCATTTTCCAGATTAATTTTGTCCCGGGCTAGTTGGTCTCTGGCTTCTCTATCTGCAATCGCCTGTGGATTTTCATGTTCCCTTGGGGTTTCTGGTCTTGGTAACTGTTCCAAGAGAACTTCTTTTGGTTCTTGTAACAAAAGTTCCGGGTCCACGCTCTCCTTCACGGTCACTGCCAAGAAAAATTGATCTAACCATATCCTAAAGTTCCAAGGAGGGTCGGAGTTCGCGGTTGTCCAAAATACCGGAATCCCCATATCCGTTCTGTTGTCTTGGGACAGAAATCCTGCTGGCTGCGCCATGTGATAACTATTAGTTTAATGCAAGTGATTATAAAACAGAATGAGTAAAACGTTTAATTCAAACTGATAACTTGTCTTGGTTTTAGATTAGAGATCATGACTATCTTTTCATGTGTCTCCTAGAACAGCAAGGTCCGAAATGACTATTGCGTTTGGCCTGCATGAATGGCCTTGAATAATAATAACAATACATAACAGAATAATTAATAGCACTGTGGTATACTCCAAGGTTACTGTGGTAGCAGTACTACACGGTACCACACTGTCAGAGACTCAAAACCGAACTAGTTGAATGCTTAACTTGTTAACTAAAAAACGAAGTGAAGGGGGCAATCATTTTTAGTCTCAGTTATTTAAATAAGAGAAATCCAAGCTAAAATAATTATCGGTCATAGAATGGTTCCAAATGATTGTTTGAACAGAGACAACCATCTGCTATTGAAAAATATTTGCCTGTTCGGGCAGTAAAAATTGACTGTAAGATGAAAACTGCGACATGATTCAATCTTTGAAGATAGCAGGCATATTTTATTTGAAAAAATCCATTCATTTTGAGAAAACTAGATCAATAGTTATTTTTTATTCCACTGGTAACTCAATTTAAACACCAATTTCAAAACAAAAATCAATTTTTACACCATTGTTCTTAAAGTAATACAGAGCGTGATTTGCCTTCTTTCAGCAAACGAAAAAGAATTGAACATAAACAAACAGATACCAAGCAGGACTTCGCAAAACCTGCAATAAATCACACACATTGCAAGCTAGATAATAAAAAACAAGACAGAAGCCATGGAGTCAAAAAAACTGATTTTAAAAAAGTCTGAAAAACTAAATCCACAGAATTTCTTACAGAAGTCTGATGTTCAATTTGAAAGTGAAATGTTTTGGAAAGTAAGACGAAAAAATAAATAGACAAATGATAGTCCCAAGTTTTCCTAAATCAATTCAAGTGTTCCAAAAATTTCTATTTCAAAGATAAACTTGAGTAAATTACGGTCTGATAAGGATTTGAACCCCAGATCATAAGCTCCCAAGGCACGCACTATAGCAACAGACCAAGAAGCAGGTGCTTGGATACGGGGGCCATCTTTCAATATGAAGCAAGGTTGACTTAATGATGTATAAATTACACTTACAAGCCCAATTCCAAGTTAAATAAATCAACGTCAAAACACCAAAAGATGAATTCGAGCGTGTACGAGTTTCAAGACCTTACCATGAAATCATTCAAGTAGCGGCCCACAAAAAAGGCCGTTGCGGAGCTTCGCAACAATTGTGATGCAAGAAACCCATTGCGCTACAAAATAGTGCACGAAAAAAAAATCAAAAACATTTCTAAAAAATTTTGCTGGAAAAAAATACTTTAAAAAATAACTTAATAAAAGTTGTAAAATTACAGCTTAAAAACTTTATATTTGTATCGGATGATGTTCATAATCATTTACCGAGCGGTAACAAATCTGTTGTCAATTTAAAAATTTTTACCACGCAACAAAACTGAAACACATAAACCGAAACGGATATACTTTGCCCTCAAAATTACGCAAAATAAGTTTTCTAAGTCGATGTAACATAAACTGAAACTGTTTGAATATTAAAAAACAAAACTCAAAATCGGACATGGTAAAGTTTCAGTTATAGTAAAAACTGTTTTAATTGGAACCGCTCTGAAAATTTAACCAAAAACTGCGTATAAAAAAACGGAAAATGAACCGACAGAAACTAGGTGGAAAACGAAGAGCCCAAAAAAATAAGAATTTTCTTTGAAAAGATAATTACAACCTGAAACGGACTTGAAAAAAATACTACTTAAGTAATAGAAGTGAAGAAAGTGAAGATCCTACTTCAAAGTGAAGATCCTCTAGAGTCTAGTACCCGTTTGCAATACCCTTGCTTATCGCAAGGGTAAAAAATGAACTAAGTTCAAACATATTGCAACAAAAGCAGGTCGTTACAGTGCAAAAAAAAAACGATTTTTTTTTGTTTTGTCATTTAAAGTTTAGTATTATTCAAAAAGAACTCTATTGAGAGTGTGATGACAAATCCACAGATCACAGAGTTAGTATGCTTTACAGCTTTATAATCAATTGTTTATATGATTTTAAGTGAAAACTTAAATTGAGTGAATTACAATTTTTTTATTAACACAGGTTTTTATGCTTTCTTTTCACAATCCGAATAACGAATGAAATGGCTATAATATGATGTTTCAATTGTGTTCCTGTGATCTTTTCCTTAGTCGGTCAAAATTGATTTGAAAAATCCACCCTTATCCATCGTTCGTTTCAACTGTTTCGAGAATGGTCAGAACAATAACTGTTTTCAATTAAAACTATCAGCCTAGCTTATTGCAAGGGTCAAGCATCAACTTTACAGATTAAAGCATGGCTATAGTTAACCTAGGAATGAAAGTTTGGAATATCCCTATTAGTCCGCATGCCATAATAATGCGACATTTTGAATCAAAAAGTTGCACACGAGTATTCGCTAATGGGGCAAAAATTTCTAGTTTGCTAGTGCTCTTTTTCCGACTTGTTGTCGAGCATCCAAAACTCATCAGAAAAAATTAATCGAGTAAAAAGTTCATGACTCTTAAAAACACAGTGCAACAGTTATTGATCTCTTTGATACTGATCAAAAGGTTTCACCATTCTGTCCTTACCTGTCCCTGTTCAATCTGATATTTGCCCAAATCTATCTCCTCCTTGGCCACTTTTCTGCCCCCGAAGAAGGGCGGGAACAATCTGTAGGTTTCCTTCAACAGAGCGTCAAACACTTCCTTCTCACTATTATGTCCCCCACCTTCTTTATTGTCCCCACCCCCATTCACTGGTGAGTCACATGATGTGTCTTCTGAGTTTACATGTGTGGTTTGAGAGGCAGTTGGAAGAAGGCGATCCAAAGGTCTATCAACACAATATGAAACATTTCACTAACGTATTTTCCTCTTGCCAAGAAATATGCTGAACAAAAGTTATTCTCTCGAAGCTTTCCAATATTCTGAATTGCCATTATAGTCCGTAAACGTTAAAATTGCTTTTGAGACAAAGTGACGTATTTCTTCCAAACGTTAACCCTAGCCCCCAATATGCCATTCATAAAGTTATTGCCCCAAGCAAAGAAATTGTGTTTTGGTGTACAGAGTTGCAAAAAATTGGAACAGAAAAAAATTACTTAAAAAAGCAAATGACCAATTTCAGAAAATGTTTGCATGCAAAGCTAATCTTTCTGACAGAAACTATGTCTCATGATCACTTAAAAACCCAACTTTACATGCAAAAGTAGCTTAAAATTGACAGATTGTTCATTTTAATGATTTCTGTCTGTTCCTACTTTTTGCAACTTATTATGTAGTATTTAACTGGTGATAGTGGGACTAAAAAGTGAAGGAGCCGTCACAACTAGACAGTTGGAATGAAGCTATTGATATTCTCCCTGCAGCCATACCTGTGCATGGCCATTTGGATGAGGGCGGAAGTTAGTAGAGAGGCAGTGGCCTTGGGAAGCAGGGCAGAGATACACACTATCACGTGGTCCACCGCCGTCTCCTCCCCTGTAACAGCAAAACACAGTCAACAGACAGTTGAAGTGTCATTAAACTCAAGGTCATCGAAAAACTTAATTAAACTTCAAAAAATATACAAGCTTGTGTAATTACTCATATCCAATCCATATTTAGAAATATTTTACAGCAAAAAAACGGCAGGGAATTAATAATTCCGTTTTGTTAAATTGTCATTTTTTGGATTTCTTTACATCAATCATAGTTACTTCAACATTCTTTGCTTCTTACAAGGCACCCAGTTAAACTTACTTTAGCCTAAAATACAAGCTATTTGAATTTCGAGAATCTTTCATTTTTGATAGGTTTGAGAAAATTTACGAATTTGAGAGAACTAGATGAAAAGAAAAAATTTTTCATTATGCTGTGAAATCTTACAACCAAAATACAGTTTTGAACCTAAGTCAATGATGTTTTTAAGCCATTTGCACTTTAGTGATCAGAGAGCGTAATATACAGCAAATATACTTCAAACCGCAAAACTGAAAAAATTGAGCGTGGACAAACTTTCAGACTTTTACAAAAACAAAACGAAAACGAACAACGCGATCTGAATACGAACAAAGCGGTCTTCACTTTGTTAATGCACAATTTGAAATTTAGCCAACATACTGGATAAATGAAAAAGAAGTCAATGAAAACGAAAAAAAGTTGAAAGAAAAATTTTCCGACTTCGAAGAAAAAAATATATCACGTTCAAGCTCTTTGATTTTCACGAATTGTTTATAATCGGCTTTTTTTTCTGAAAATTATCTCATTTCGGGAAAACTTGATCAAAAGTTTGTTTTAATTACGCTGGAAATTAAGCGCGTAGCCAAACGACAGAAAAGATTTTCAGAAGAAAGCAAAAATCAAACCCAGAAAAATCAAAAATTAGACTTTGTTCCGAGAACAAAGCGAAAGAATGGCCAAGAAAGGCAATCACTTCGCTTTTTTAAACTTGAAAAACAAAATAAATCGCAAAGATCACATATTCTAACTAAATGCACACTACGAAGAGATTCTGAATCTTAGTTCTAATCAATCTAGTACGTATCCAGTTAAAAGTTGAGGTGAGATACTGCGACACAACCACAGAATAGGACATCAAAAAACTTCTGATTTAATTTATTTAATTTAATTTATTCCACAGTCCAGCTGAACTTCGTATACAATAACAAAATGAGCACTGCAAAGCCCAATAAGATAAAACGCAAATAAGCCTTGTAAGAAAATCAACTTCAAAAAGTATTAAGAACTCTAAAACATCATTTGAGTCGTGTAAAAACTTATACCAATAAGCTAGAATCAATTCAATTTTGATTGATTATTTGAGCGCTTGAAAATTTGGATCAACTAGCCACGCTCAACCAAGTCGTACTAACGTGCAAATAAGTGCATTAAATAGTGCTCAACTTATACCAACAAAATGACAAAATGCTTATTATAAAACCTTCAAAAGGTCAAACCAGCAAAAAAATATTCGACCACAAAAAACCAAATCGTAGAAAAAAGTCTTTGCAGTTTATACAAGAGGCGAAGCAGAGCTTCGCATCACTTGCGATACCGCAGAACTAGCATTGCAAGCTAGCAGACAGGAAAGGAAAAGAGAGCCACTAAGTCCAAAGAAAATGGAAAACATTTTCAAGAAACGGCAACTACAATACTTCAAAATGTTGACTGAAATGATGTCCTATTTGCTGACAACACGTCCAGGAAAACAGTTGCTGAGCGAAAGTATAATTGTTGTAAAGAAAAACTTTGAACTATAAATTCATTCTGAGATTTTTAACGTTCTCTGCGATCCGGAGGAAAGCTTACAAAACATGGTTCACTCGAAAGACCCAAAAATAGGCGAGTAAGCCGACAAAATATATGCCGAAAATCATTTAGGCCGAAGAGTCTTTTAAGCGAAAAAAAATCAAAAGGAAAACATACGAAGTCAAGGCTAGTAGAATTACAATTTGGAGGAGTAAATGAAAACATAAAACCAACTACAATGAAAACTGCATTCAACAAAAATATTCTAATATGTGGCAATTAAGTCGGCAATTGATTCGAATTTGAAAATTTCTCGTTTGGAAAAAAACAGGTCCTGCTCAGATCTCGACCAAGGATCTGTGCCGTCCCGGGCGTAATCGTTGCCTCCAGATTAAATGGGCCGGAGACGCTTTGAATTCATTATGAACCAAGATACCAAGTGATTCAAGCGATTCTGTTAAACAAGTTGTTCACCAGAAAACAGTCTGAATTCCGATTTGATAACGTTTGCTAATCGCAAGCGTAAATAGTAATTTATCTTTGTTTTGCTCATGTCAAAAAATTGTAAGGACAATCAGAAATACGTTCTCACCAATTTGAGACAACATTTCCGTGTACACTAAAGGCGGTTCACTATCAGTTCTTGTAAGCCTCTCTTTAAATATCTCAATCAATCTCTTTTTTGCATTAAGTGCCTTCTGGAACACCTTTCCCACTAATTTGATCGAGGTTGGAATGGAAGTTATGCCGTGCCAGTGTTCTATCGACAGCTTGGTGATTGTGGCGATTAATTCTGGCTCCTTCTCGGCGTCAATATCGAAGAAGAATTGGAGAAACAGTTTGGTCATCATTTCCTAGACACGGCAAATTTAATGATACAAATTACTCAATGTCATGAAAATTAAGCATTTCAAAAAAAATGAACGATTAATTAACAAACATAGCCAACAATTGAAAAACAGAGCCAACAGACAGTTAGAAAAAATGAATGAACGCAGGTGAGCAGAAAAAAAAACTGACTTTTTTGAAATAAAACTTAAACTTCCGAATTACAAAATAAAAAAATGTATATCGGCTTAAAGCTGTTTGAATTTTAAGAACAGTTAGTGGTTGACTCTTGAATGATAAAATTACCTCAATTCGAAAAAAAATGATTCTATGGGTAAATTTTGATTGCGCTGGGAAATGTAAATATTGAAATACACTTTCGAAACAAGATGTTGAAGTTTTTTTTGCGCCATTTGAAATTGGAGAGCGAATTTACTCAACTTATAGCAGATGAAATCGAATAGAACTCAACTAGTGCATTGAACCCTCTATCACTCTAAACACCATATTTGACCAAAAAATCGCGTTTTTTGGCGCGGGCTACCTCAAATTTCATATATATTAGCGCCAAATGCACATTTTGAAAAAATTTAGTGTCAGTCAACCAAATATGGATATCTCAAAAAAAGTACAGAGGGGACCCTTTGGGTCGGACGGGGGTCGAATCCAATCCCTGCATCCGCAACTGCCTCTGTGCATTCATAAATGCATTAATTAGATATGAATTCACTTCTGTAGTTATAAGAGCATTTCAAGACATTTCCTGAACTTCTCAAATATCCATGATGACCTATATGAGAGTCTCACTACATTCATTGACTCTTTATCAAAAATACTGTATAATAAAATTATATTACATTATACTATATAATTTTCTACCTTCATAGAAGACAAATTATACCCGTAACAAAAAGCTCCTAACGGTTTATATTTCCATTCCACGAATTTCATCTAATCAAGCACTAATAGTATGTTGCAGAATCCACGCGATTCTACAAAAGCACACTTATTGCACAACATGAACGCATAAAAAACACTTGAAGCAAAAAAGCGAAGTGCATCAAATCAACCTTCAAATTTAAGTCAAAAAGTTCAGCAGGGTAAATTTAATCAAAACGATTGCCGGTAGACTTACATAGCCAACAGACAGTTGAAAAAGAGTCAATAAAACTCAATTACAATAAAGCTAAAAATCAAGCTCTAAGAATCAATATTACAAAAAAATTAAATACTGCATTACTTAAAAATGAAACTGATGGTGATCAGCACCTTGAAAGACACAACATTTTCACGAATCAGCCGATTTCACCAAAAACAATTCGAAGGCAAAAAAAAATAGAACAAAACAGCACATTTGATTAAAATCGTATTCACAATAGTTCTCGATATTTTCCATGACAGCTTCATACTGATTATTTTCTTTTTATGTTGTTCAGAAGTTTCTCAGCAATGACAACAGCAACAATAACATAAACATTAATCAGATAATAACATAACGGAATTAAGTCCAAAAAATTTAAGGCCGACACCCAGAAAGTCAAAAAATCAACTTTAAAAACTATTTTGAAAAAACATCGAAAAAGTAAACGGAAAAATTTTCAATGGAAAACCTTGCAAGGCTCGTAATGCGCCATTGTATAAGTGGCTAAAAAAACACCGGTCAATTTCCTAAGAATTTGTAAAACAAAGTTTAACAGAAAAAAAGTATTGCTCCTAATTACAAGGAGACTAAATGAAAATTATAACACAAGCTTTTTAATTTCCAGCAGTTTTTATGATTGACAGTTTTTGAGAAAAAAAAAACATATGCTAAGACTATATAACTAGGCCCAGAACAGACATATTGGTCCAAAAAACTAAATTAGATATGATATTCATAAGTTTTCCTCGAAAAAAAATCGTTTAAGTAAAATTTAACGGTTTAAGTTGGGTCATGAGAATTAGACTAATAGAAAACCTTGCTCGCTTCACTCGTTTTTCTCAACGCTTTGAAAAATATCGTTCGAATCACCCCTAAAAGCGCTTTATTAAGATACATCACTCAGTCCATTCCAATGTTCTAAAATCGTTCGAATCACCACTAAAAAGGCTTTATTAATATATATCACTCAATCCATTCCAATGATAATTTGTGGTACCTGATTTTGCGTGGAAACAAAGAAAAAACTAAACGATTCCCGAAGACAAAAGCTCCCAATTTTTCAATGATCGGAACAGAAAGAATGACTTCAATCGGTTCGAAGTCGAATGTTACTCCATTAAAACTCATTTTAAAGTTCAGACAGGCCACCTTAGTTATAGACATAGCTGAGCTTCGTACATAAATAAGAAGCATTTTGTGTAAGAATGAAAATGGAAGTTGAGAACAATTAAGGAAAATCAACTAAGTTTTTTTTTGGAAAAAAACAGTGTTCTCTGGTAGAAAATTGAGCGGTAACTGTCAAAAGCCCAAGAAAAAATCAAGTAACTTATTTCTATTGAACTTTAAAATAGCCAACAGACAGTTGGAAAAGAGTTAATGAACGCAAGAAAACAGAAAAGAAAAACTGAAATAAACTTCAACTTTACAATTCCAAAGTAAAAAATATATGACTTTAGAGCTCCTTGAACATCAGTAAAAACTGATATTCAAAAAACTTGAAAAAAACTTTGAAAAAAACTGGATCATTAAGTTTTCATCCGCTGGGGAATCTGAAAATTAAATTCCACTTTCGAACCTAAAAGTCGATCAGTTTTTTCGTGATCTTTCCTCTTTCATAATTGGAGAACGCATATATAGAAGCATTCATAAATCCCTGGACGAAGGCAGTCCAGACTTTAATTTAGGGAGTGATGATTTTTTTCCGGAAAATTATCTATTTTTTTTTACCATGGTGCAGGTAAAAAAATAGATAATTTTCCAGGAAAATAATCATCACTACCTAAATTAAAGTCTGGACTGCCTTCATGGACCCTTGAAAACAAGGCGACAGCGACACTGACAAAATTGAACTAAATGCTAAAAGCAATCCTGAATATCGAAAAAAAATGTCAATAACTAACGTTCATTTAAATTCTAATTAGTATATCTTTGGAAACACGCTTGGTAAACTTTTGCATTTACTACATGTTCTATAAAGCTACAAGTAAGTAGCAGCATATGAAGCGAGGCATAACAGGCCAGACAGATCAGATGGAGCCTGCCAAATATATCATTCAGTAGAGAAGTTTAAGAGAGATTCATGAAATTAATAGATGTTTAATTTGAACAATTTGTTGACAGTCAAGTATCCATTTTGATAAATATTGGTAATCGCAAATGTACATGCAAACTTTTCAAAAAGCATGAAAAAACTTGCCAAACTAACTGAAATGAAATTTCAATCATCAGCACTTCAGCAGTATATAAACAGATCAGTAGAAAAAAATCGTTCTTTTAGACCATATCAATTGATTTTGGCGACGCGAAACTAGCACAGAATATGTTCCCAAACACAATGCAAATGAAAAGGCTTGAATCGCTATCTCAAATGACAACTTCAAGCGATTACAAGAATCAAAATTTTTTTTGAATTACTATAAAATTTTGAATTACTATAATTAAAAAGTCTCATGAAATGCTCAACGAAGAGAAACATGAAATGCTCAATAGATTTCAAACAATAGGGTCTCAGCAAACTGACAAATGCAAATAAATATTCTTAGTAAAGGACAGAGATTTGACGCTATGCTATCCAAGTACAATTTGATCAAATGTAGCACATTCCAAGATACCGTTCAAATCAGGGTTTTAAAAACCAAATATTTAAGTAGGTTATCCAAGTTTTTTAGGCCAAAAATGGAAAAAAGCGGAGGCCCAAAAAAGCAACGAAGGCCCAAACAAGCGAAAATGGAAAAAGAGAAGTGTTTAGGCCGAAAATTGAAAATAGCGAAGGCCCAATCGCGTATTTAGCTATTAGAAAAAGCCTAGTACTACAAAAACACTTTTTTTTTCGCTTAAAAATATAACAAGCCAGCAAAAGCAGCAAGTCTTCTTCAAAATATAAGGTTCTCTGATAAATGAAATCAGTTAAAACTTACTGCTGCTAGATAGCACAAACGCTAAAGATAACACACAATTTCATGTTCTTCAACAATCTGAGTTATTTTTTGGTGACATTTTTTTATTGAAACATCCAGATGTTGCAAAAAAAAATGCCTCAATATTCCGACTTGAAAAACTGACCTTAATAGTTTGATAGAGGTCACACTCCAGATCCTGCTGACACATTTTATCCAGAGCCGGAAACACTTGAAACTCCAGCAGACGGTTGATTTTATCCACTCGCTGCGATATCGAATTCGCCAAAATCTCTCTCAACTTGATCACCACATCGCCATTTTGGAACAAAACACAGGAACTTCCAAACAGCTGGGGTAAAATATTCATCACATCATAACCCTGGTCGAAATTAGAGCATTTTTCGTACAATAAACAATGTACACTGGTGTAATCTGTTAGCCAGACTGTTGGTTTGTTTAGGAAGCGCTGCTGGAAGATGGTGGACTTGTGTTTGGCCACTCGATTCTCACAGAATGATTTCGGGTTCAGATAGAATTCTGCAGTCTTGTCGCCCAGAATATTCAATCTATCGTTGCCCGGAGGCTTCATGTTCACAGTCTTGTCTAAATTATTTATTTCAATTTACTCACATCTGTTCTCTGAAATTTCATTCTGTGTTAATATACATAATTAATTCCAAATTGTTGGCAAATTAATGCAAAATTGTCGACAAAATTGAGCAAAGTGAATTAACCTAAAATGCTCATTTTGACGTCTGTAATCTATTTTTCACTAATTCGATAGACCACTCGCTTTAGAAACCTTAAAAAAATCTAATTAAACAACTGTTTTTGACCATTTAGATTGTTCAAACTCACCGATGTTGCCAACAATTTGGCATTAACTATAACTTATGTAATGTTAGTGAACATGAAGGTCATATACCAAGAGCGAGAGATTGCAGCCAGGCTGATCCTTATTTTTAGTGAGGTTCACAGGCTTCGCCAGGTACTTTTCAGTTATTCCACTACGCTCACAGATTAGGTCGGACAACATCAAGACAACGCAGACCATAGTATAACCGACAACCTAACCACATATATTCGCACCTGTTGATGAATTCAAGAGCAAAACAGAGCAGGGAAAATTATAAACCCAAAGGCTAGGTTGTCAGAATGCGTGTTTTCCGGCGCATGTTATTCTTCGCTCTCGTCAATTGAAAAAAAAACTTACCTATTTGGTCACTACTGACAGCATAATAACTGACTTATTTTCGCGATAAACAGGCGAGCCCTGTGACCTCGGTGCAACTTCTAATTTTTCACACAGCGGCGAAGCTGAGCTTTGCACCACTTGCGATACAAAAAAAATTAGATCTATCAAAACGAATAAGGCTTGTTTTGAAACAAAAACATGCCAAGACGCAAAATGAGGGCAATAAGCCGATATAATTCAGGCCGAAACCTACCAAGCCAAAAAAAATTGTTGTCATGCAAAACTTGAACGATAATTTTATCAAGATTTTTAACATTTTATGCGATCCGGAAGTGAGCATGAAAAATATATTTTCGTTGAAGCGACTCAAAAATTAGTTCACTAAGCCAATAAAAAAATTATGAAACCGATTATTTCACGTTTGAAAAAAAAACAGGTCCTGTCAGATTCACACCCTGGACTTTTGCCGTCCCAGACACATTCGTTACCTTCAGACCAAAAGTCGCGGAGACGCAGAGAAATTGGAATTCAATGTGAATTGAAACTGAATCTACTATTTCTAATTTTGACCATTCTAGTACCCGATTGCAATACTCTTGCTTATCGCAAGGGTAAAAAGAGTATATATGGGGAAATTAAATTGTTTTTTAACATTAAATGCTGATTGCAAAAAGTAATACCCAATCAAAAATCAAAAACCTCTAATTAGCTACATCGGCCAACACAGAATTTTTGTCATAGTTTCATAAACTGCTTCAGTCAAGTTTTTGAAATCGAAAAATTACAAATCCGTATCAGATAAATCAGGAATGGATTCATCCTGATTCACCACGTCGTTTTCCTTTTTATCCGTTTTCATTTTTTCGTTTCTATTCTCTTCATTATTTGAAATACCATTGGATTCCGTCTCAGTTTTATCTCGTGTTAACTCAGAAGTTTTGTCGTCACTTGTTGCTTCTTCAAACTTTTCATTACCATCTTTCATAACTTCTGATTTCGCCTCTGTTCCGTCTTTCGGAATTTCCGGAGTTTCAGCATTGATCGTTGCCTCAACTTTTGCCTTTCTTTCAGAATCTGCGCTCTGCTTCGCATCAGTAGAACTTGCTTCTGTTTTATCTTCTTTGCTCGTCACAGTTTTTACATCGTCTGAAGTTTTTTGTTCATCTTCAGTTTTATTTACACTTATTTCTGATGTCTCTTCACTCGTCTCGGTTGATTTTTCTTGCTCATTCTTTGATTTCTTTTCGTTTCCAATTTGCGATGCACTTGAACTGATTTCGACAATATCATTGTCAGACTCCGAGTCATTTCTATTTACTTTCTCAGAATTGGAGTAGTTTTCAAAGGCAGCATTGATAACTTCAGTCAATTCGTCTGTCATGCCTTCAAAAAACTTCTCTTCGCCCAGTTTGTCTTTTAGCTCTTGAAGGTGTGAACAGAAATTGTAGCACTCAGATAACACCATGTAGTGGTGCTGCATTCCGTAGTCATCATCGCTTCGAAAATCTTCACTTTCTTCCATATCTTGTTCAAACAAGTCGAGAAAATCAACAGCACACATGGTCAACTTATGAAACTTCTTTACCAGCTCTAGCTGGCGCTCTTGAGATAATCTGGCAAGAACTCTTATGCTAAGTTTAAGTATACGGCATATGCAACTTTTGTAACTGAACGTAAACTGTTTTTCATCTAACTTAACTAAAACAAACTGCAGAGCTTCTAGTACTTTTTCACAATCTATTAAAAAAGAATCTTTAGTTTCGGTGTTTGTTTCCAAAAATGTCAATACCGTCAAGATGTTTCCGACTGTTTCTACGCTGGTTGATTCTTTAGAAGGCGCACCATAACATATCAGAGCATTGCACACAGATTCGATTGATTTTGAGTTATCTTCAAGACCGATTTTAACATTTTCTGAGACATCGAAAATGAAACCCATATTCTCCATGATTTTCTCAATTACATATGGTTTTTCAGTGTTGAAAAAGGCAAAACTTTTACCGATGATCTGATTTTTATTAATCAGTTCACTCCATTTCTCTTCTTCGTGTTGTAAACAATAGCTGAATAGCTTTAAAACTTGATTTTGCACTTGAGGTTTTGAGGGCTCATCGTCAAAGAAAGAAACTAAACGTGATATCAGATCCGAATCTTCGTAACACAGTTCACATATTTCTGGAATAGAACTCAAGTTAGCCAGGATACCCAGCGCAATATCTCGGGGACCAGCCGATGTTTTCAAAACAATATCTCGCAAAGACGAAAAGCAATTTTTCTCGTACATAAACTGGGCGACTTGTGACTGCTGGCTTAGATCCCAGAGATCACTAAATTTGGTTTCCAATGCTGCATTGTAGCCAGGAATAACTGGAGTTGCTTCTATTGTCTTTACTGCCGTAATTTCGTCGTCAGAATCATCGTAATTGGAAGCAATTTTTATTTTCTTGGCATCGGGTTCGTCTTCAGTAAGCTTTGTTTCATTTGCAGTCTCTGCCGTATTACAGTCTCCATTTGGAGTTTCTGTTTCTTCTGGTTTTTGTTCTTTTATCGGATTGCTAGATGCTTCATTTCCCGCTTTCCTGGCGTCTTCTGATGCATCTGCAACTTCATATTCTTGATTAGAAGGGGTCAGTAGTTTGTGAATGCTGAATAATACTTTATCTAAATACTCGATTTCAAACAGCTTTTTCAATTCATCCTCTGACCTTTGAGGTTTCTGTTTCGGAGGGGCCGCTACCGTTTTTATATGAATGATCTCTGGGCTTGAGCTTCTGCTGCGGTTAATTTCACTTGCGCCAATTGAAGGGTCTTCGTTCGTTGTTATATCAACGCCATTTTCAAGCTCATTGTCTTGCGTTTTCTCCAATATGATAGAGTCATCGCCGACTTCCTTTACTAGCTCAGTTTCAATTTTTACAACATCATCTAAAGGCATTTCGGCTCTAAAAAAGAAAATTGACATCAAACTTTATTCTCGAGATGTGACTTTAAATATTTATTATACTTAATATAAAAATCGCCAAACGTTCGCACCACTTGCGATACCAAGAAACAGATATATGTTTCCAAATGACATTTAAACAGTCGAAACTGCTACTTTGCAAACACGAGCAAGAAAACGGCAAAGATTCAGAGATTTAAAATGCAAGAAAACTCAAATTTAGCGAGTTATAATTTGGGATGTAACCACCTTAAGGCAACCACATTCACTATGCAAGTAATAAATAAACAACCACAATAAGTAGCAAAAAAGTCTGACAGACTAAAAACTAAAAAGAAAACATAACCTTTGCAGACAGTTTCGCATGCAAATGGAAATTCTTCAGACAGAAAAAATGTCTCAAATCCACCTAAAAATATACATTAGCAGCTTAATTTTTCTGGAAAACTTATTTTTTTCAAAGAAGTCAATTAAATTGAACAAAAAATAAAAAGAGCGTATATACCGCACAGTTTACAGTTGAAGCAGTAAAGGGTGTGTGTCAACTAGTTGCCTCAAGGATGCATCCAGCGTTCCCGCGCTGAATCGCTAGGTCTAGCTTTTGTTTGAGAAATTTAAAAGCTAGTTTCTCACCCGTTAAGACTGTTATTCGCCTTGCAAGTTCTTTCTGTGCCATTCTGCCAGATTGGCACAGCGCAACCTTCCGGCGGGACAGAGAAAGACTACTAAAGGCCTTAGTAACAAAAAGGCGCTGCGATGGAGGGTCGAAATATTCCGGAAGTTTAAATTTTTAAAATTTCGATTGACGGGTAAGTATTTTTCAGAAATACAAAAAAGACGGCAATTTTGACAAAACAGAACAACGTCAAATATAGTGAAAAACAGTCGCACGAGAAAACGAGAAAAACAAAGCCTCTTATCAAGGCAATCACACAACATAAGACCGATAGCAGAGAGAAACAGTGAGAAAGGAGGCTTCAGTGGGGAAGGAATATTCCGCGGAACCCTCCCGTGCCACAAATTGGGAGAGATAACAACGTTATGTCGAGAAGAACACGGAAGCGGAGGCTTGGCCCCCCAGAGACTGTCATATGTTGAACGACTGCAGTAACTTACCTTTTCAGCTACTCTGATGCCATAGAACTTTGAATTGACACCGGTATTATTTGATATTTTAGAATACGAGTAGCTAGGAAGAGGAAAGTGTCAATCCATCTCCAATGGACTTAATATAGAACTGTCACACAAAAACATAATAAAGTAGGGTGTTCGAGCCGTGTTTTTAATAGCAATCACGTAGTCTGAGGATCCGAGACTCAGCTATGTGGTTGTGTTCTCATATGAACGAAAGCTGATCAAAAGTCGTTTGACTGATGGCCTAAAAGTAGTAACTTTTTACTTAGCCCTGAACAGACAAGAAAATCAACTGGCAAGGTCGAGACGATGAAAAACGAGTAGGATTAAGGTAATTGACGCCTTCCAGTCGTTAATAGGTACTTT